GCTGTCGGGGGCGGCGCGGGAGGCCGCACCACGAGCCCCAGCAGGAGCTGCTGGTTGGGTCCGCGAAGCGGGGAGCCCCGGAGGCGGCCGGTTCCCTCCGCGGCCGCAGGGTGTGCGGCCTGCTGCCCTGTCCCCGCTGGGAGCGAGCAGCGGCACCGGGGGCTTCTTTTTGTCCCCAGAGCTTTGCAGGGCACCTTCTGCTTCCCCAGCTGAGCAGCAGCGTTCGGCCTGTTGGCAGGATCGCTTTAAGGAAGATGAGGGCGACTGGCCCTCCTTTGGAGGAAGGACAGAGGTCGCTCCGCAGGCTGTGGGGAGGGGTGAGGGCCCGTCCACCCCATCCTGCCAGGCTCAGTTTGGTGTCACCCTGCTCAGAGCAGCAGGGAGCAGGGAGAAATTCCAGCAGGAACACAGCAAGGACCATCCCCAAACCCTTTAAATTCTCTGCCATCACCAGAAATGATGACCTGGCCAGGAAAACGGGGTTATTTACTGAGGCAAGGCTGTTTTCCCTTCTGGCTTGTGTGAATACTTTGACTAACACATGGCTATTTATTTTAGCTCCACTGAGGATGTTCCATGCTCCCTTTTGCGCGAGGGACCTCAAGGGACAATTGTGCATTGTCTCCTCACTGCTCGGGTTTCCTGCCATGGCAGGAGGACACACAGCATCACTCAGGTGTCTTCTTTCCAGGAAATCTTGTGGAGATTATTTTGGGGGAAATCCCAAGTGCTTTGGCCCAGCCCAGCTTCCTCCCCTGGGGCAGCTGCCACCACTTAGTGGGAATGATAGTCCCCCAGCCCCTTCTATCCTCATCCAAATCCTCACAGTGAAGGTCGTGCCTGCTCAGGTGCTCCTCATTAAATGCACAGACTCAGGGCTTCAAAAACTGTATTTTTAAATTACTGTTTTAATTGGTCTGGCTTTTCCTGCAAAAAGCTTTTCCTCCAACTTCAGAGGAGCAGTTAGTTCTGAGCATGGCTCTCTGCTTCCAGAGGCTGTTTATCTTAACCCAGTTTCTATCTGCTCTCCCTGGCTTCCAGCAGAAAGGGGCATCTTCTGCTTGATCCTGATGGAAGGGGCTCTTCTGGACTGAAACATCATCTGGTTGGTAGGTAATGAAAAAGCTGAATGCATTTTATAGTACTATGGTTGATATAAAAAAGTGATTATAATGAAGTGTAAAGTAAGAAACAGAATAATGTCATATTTTAGGTTTGGAAAAGAACAGCAGGTTTTCAATAGGAGTGCCTGGAGCCTCTGAGGGGGTGGCCATGCTGCGCGCTCAGCCTCACCTCTGAGGAGGGTGCTGGGGGTGCACATTTGCGTTGAACAACAGGGTGTTGTCGGGTGTTGGACTTTTTTTTTTTCTTTTAAGAGATCCTTTTAAGAGAGTACTGGTGAAATCATAATAGAGACAACAAGAATGCTCTCCGTGTTGAAGCTGTTTTATTGCATTAGATAAATACATGTGCAGCGGGTCAGAATTATTTCCTCTGAGTGCAATTGATGGTAGTATGGCATAATAGTCAAGAGAAAGAAAATCAGCAGAGGCACTTGTTTCATGCAGCTGAGATTACTACCAAGCCCAGTGATGCAGCCCCTGCTAAAACAGAACCTTGTTGGCCTTGGACACTGCTGGGCTGATGGGGCTCCTGTGACCAGCATCGTGCAGCTGCGGGAATAACGCATCCAGGGAGGGTTGTCCCTGTGTCCCAGCTCCAAGGAGCAGGGGAAGAACCTTCTGCTTTCCATGTGATGCTCTGTATTGCTTTTGGTTGGAGTGGTCAGGCTGCGTGACCATAACCATTGGTGGAAGGCAGATATTAGGATGTTATCAATATAAAAACAATCCTGCAAATGTTTGTGTGATCACCTGGAAAGGCGGACGTGAATACGTAGACATCTATGGAGATCTCTTTGCCAAAAGAAAGATGGATGTGATAGGCTATACCGGGATGATAAATGCCTTATTATTATTAGAAAATAGAACTATCCATAAGGATCTTTCCCTTAGGATTCTCAGCATATTTACTTGGTTTGCACAGCTAGACAAACACAGCAAAAAATAATAAAAAGTTTTAGCAAATATCCTTGCAACTCAAATTTGCTAATTTGCTTCCCCAGCACCTGTAACCCTTTGGTGCCATCCAGGCTCTGCGTATTCCCATCCGTTCCCTGGAAAGGACATAGGCTGTGGCTGGCCTGGCCCTGTGTGCAGCCAGGCAGCCTGCTCAGGGGTTTCACCCTAAGCACACACTTTCACCTTTGAGATATAGTATGAGCTCCTGTGGTCCGAATGCAGCCACTCATGAATCAGAGACACCAAGGTGTTAGCTGAAAATATTGGAGACGTTAACATTCACTCTTATAAAAATCCACAGTCACTGGTGGTCGGTCAGCTAACAGAAATGAAGGATTAATAGGCTGATGAGCCACTCGCAGTGGGCAAGTGAATCAGTGCAGGTCTTTTGGTAAAGAATAGGAGGATTAAAGTGGATCCCCAAATCTCCCTCCTCCTGCTTGGAATGTCCTACAACAGAGACTAGCAAACCATGTGCAGCTTAGGTTAGAGCAGAAGGCCCATGCGAAGCTCTCCACATGCCTCATCATTGGCTCTTTTGGGATCCCTGTTTCACACTGCAGACCACCTTGCCTCCACAGTGTCCTCAGCAGTCCCTGTGATGCAGCCAGGTGCTCCTTGGCATGACTCAAAATGTTACCATCTGACCCCTGTTGAGAGTGAGTGGGGTCCAGCTGAGTCTCCTCCCCGGTGGGGACTCCTCTTGGTTAAACCGAGACTCCCTCCTAGTTTCACAGGGAGTGAATCAATATCCTAATTCTGAGTCCCTTTTTGAGGATCTCCAAGTACTTTACTGATATTAGGTAGATACAAATGTACCCGAGGCAAGCTAATATTGTGGTAGCCAAGGCAAGCTCATGTTGTACTCCTTTTACAGATGAGTGACTGAGACACGTAGCGAGAGGCGCCTTGCTTGCTCGTCCAACAAATCCCTATCGGAGCAAAGGATGGTAACCCACAAAGTCTGTGCCCCAATTCCCTGCTCCAGCCTTTGGTTCCACCTTCCTCATCCACGTTGCCTTATGGAGAAAACCTAGAGACCAGGTAGGAGTGAAGAGAAGGAGAAACAGTGAAGTGTCCTTCTTGCAGATGTTTACTATCCGTACTTCTCTACTTGAGATACTTTTGATGGTTGCAGGTTTGGCTCTTTGCTGCAGCAGCTTCTTATAATGCTTAAACACTGTCTGCAGCTATTAAAAAAAAAAAAAAGGCAGCTGTGGGCAAACCTTAGAATTTGGGGAATGGAAAAATTGGGAATCCCTCAGTCTCCACTCCTCAAAAGGCATAAAACAAACAGCTGAAGTTCCCCCATTCACTCATACCTTTTCCCATAGTGGCTGCCTTGGTGAGCTGAGGAAAGGAAATGTACGAATATTCACCTTACAAATCTGTGGAAAAATTATTTTAAAAGTGCTGAATTTCTCCGAGGTAGAATGCATATTGCCGTATGTTACTCAAACTGCTAAGCTGAGGAATCTGTGAGATTTGAGAGCTGACAAATTCCTACTTCTCTGTGACAAAGTCAGGAAGGATGTCTTTGTCTTTGCTTATTGTTTTTGTTACTGTACCTGTGTGTGACTCCCTGAAACATGAGCTGGATGCAGTTATGTGTGGAGTCACTCTCTAAAAATCAGGGCTATGTAGTTGAAGCCAGTGATGTCCCAGCTCTGCTTCAAGGACTTCTGGTGACCAGCAAGATCACCATGAGTGGTCTGACCCACCTGGCTAATCCACAGACCCATGGGAAGTGGTAAAATGCCCAGGGTTTCTAAAGCGGGATAGAGCAAGGTGATGCTGTAGGGTTGATGACAGCTCTTTGGGAAGTGTGTTCTGAGTGTCTCTGTATCCTGCGTGCTGGAGATTGGACTGCAGAGTGGTGGGGAGGGCACATGCAGAAGCAAAGTAGTCAGAGAAACCCTGCTCCTGTGTCCTCTACCCAGATGGGGTGCTTTAGAGCTGCTACTCAGTGGTGCTCGAGGATACAAAACTGTAAAATCTTTTGGAAACACAAATATAATGGCTGAGGAGGATATCTGAAGCAATCTATTTTCAAAGAAGATAAAACGCTCATGTTGCTTTTCCAACT